GGGGGGGGGGGGAGTGTTCTTCAGAGGTCACGTTGGTTGGTAGTATGGTTCAGATCTTCTGTATCCTTAGTTTTTTCTGTCTACAAGTTTTGTTTTGTTTTGTTTTTAATCCTTACCTCAGGATGTTTTTTCCATTGCTTTTCAGAGAGAGTGGAAGGGGGAGAGAGAAACATCAATATGAGAGAGACACATAGATTGTTTGGCTCCCGCACGTGCCCCTACCGGGCCAGGGATTGAGCCTGCAACGTAGGTGCATACCCTTGACTGGAATTGATGAACCTGGGACCCTTCAGTCTGAGGGCTGACACTCTAACCACTGAGCCAAACAAGCTAGGGCTGTCTACAACTTTTATCAGTTGTTGAGAGAAGAATATTGAAGTCTCTATTATAATTGTGTATTTACCTGTTTTCCTTGAAGCTCTATCCATTTTTGCTCCATGTACTTTGAATCTCTGTTAAGTGCATAAAATGTCAAGGTTTGTTATTTCCTTCCTTATCTCTGGTAATATTCTTTGCTCTGCAGTCCACTTTGTATGATATTAACATATCAAATCTCACTTTCTTTAGACCAGAGTTGTGCCTTTTAATTTAAAGTACATGTCTTGTAGGCAGCAGATCATCTTGCTTTCCTTAATCCATCTGGAACTCTGCCCTTTAGTTAGGTTGTTTAGATCATTATGTGATTTTTGACATAGTTGAGTTTAAGTCTACCTGGCTATTTGTTTTCTTTTTGTACTATGTGTTTGGTTCCCTTTTCCTTTTTCTGTCTTCTGTATTAATCAAGTATCTTTTATGATTCCATTATATCTCCTTTGCTGACTTATAAGCAATTCCTCTGTTTTGTTATTTTAGTGGTTGCTTTGGGGCCTATAGTATTTGTCTTTAGCTTATTATAATCTACCTTCAAGTAATATTTTACCACTTCATGTCACATACGTCTGATTTCCCCCCTCCCTGGCTTTAATGCTAATTGTTCTGATACTTTTACTTATAGATACAAGCCCCACGATACATTGTTATTAATTTTTCTTGCATGCCTGGTAATCTTTGGATGCTAGACACTGAATTTTACCTTGTTGGGTGCTAGATATTGGTTTACCCTTTTACCTTTTAAAGAGTTATAGGAAAATAATTGTGTGTGTTTTTCTAAGTAGTTGCTACTTCTGTTGCTCTTCATTCCTTTGTGTGGATTCAGATTTCCATCTGGTATCATTTTCCTTTTATGGGAAGGACCTCATTTAACCTTTGTTTTCGTGTGAGTCTAAAGGTGAAAAATTCTTTTGGCTTTTGTATTTCTGGAAACGTCTTTACTTTTGCCTTTGTTTTTGAAACATAACCTTGCTGGGTATAGAATTCTAGATGGTCAGTGTTTTTCTTCTTTCAGTCCTTTAAAGACATTGTTCCACTGTCATCTTGCTTGCATTGTTTTGATGAGTAATCTGCAGTTGTCTTTGTCTTTCCTCTGCACATATCATGTACTTGTTTGTTGGCTCATTTAAAATGTTTCTCTTTATCACTGGATTTGATCAATTTAATTAACCTGTGCCTTGGTGTGGTTTTATTCATGTTTCTTGTGCTTGGGATCATTGAGTTTCTCATGGGTTTATATTTTTCATCAATTTTGGAAAACTTCTTTAGCCATTATTTCTTCAAATACTTTTTCTGTCCCCCACTTCTTCTTTGAGGACTTGAAATATCCTTATATTAGGCTTCCTGATGTTATCCCATTGCTGACTGATGTCTTTTTCATTTTTTAAATTATATTTTCTCTCAGTGTTTGGTTAGTTTGGTTAGATTCACTAATTTCTTCTGCACATTCTTCTGAATTTCTAATCTGCCATTAATCTCATCCAGTGTAAAATTCATCCCAAACAGTCTAGTTTTCATGTCTAGAGGTTTAATTTCTGTCTTCTCGATATATTCTATGTCTCTAACTTTCTAAACATATGAAATGCAGTTCAAAACTTTTAATGTCCTTTTTGCTAATTTTTACATCTGTGTCAGTTCTAGGTGATTTTGACTGATTTTTCTCATTGTGGGTCATGTTTTTCTGCTTCTTGACATGCCTGATAATCTTTGATTGCACACCAAGTGTTTTATCTTGCTGGGTGCTAGATACTTTAAACAATTTTTTTTTTTAATTTTTAAAATTAATTCATTTTAAAAATATGTTTTTATTGATTTTAGAGAGAGAGGAAAGGAGGGAGAGAGAAACATCAATGAGAGAGTAACACTGATCAGCTGCCTCCTGCACGACCCCACCAGGGATCGAGCCCAGATTGAACTCGCAACCTGGGCATGCACCCTGACCAGAAATCGAACTGGTGACCTCCTAGTACATGGGTCGATCCTCAACTAGTGAGCAGCACTGGCTGGGCATAGATACTTTTTATTCCTATTCTTGAGCTCTGTTCTGGGAAGCAGTTAAGATGCTTGAGAATAGTTTGTTCCTTTCAGGTCTTGCTTTTGAGGTTTGTTAGGTCTGGAGCAATGCTCAGTCTAGTACTTATCCCCATAGTGAGGCAAGACCTTCCTATGTATTCCACTCAGTGGCCCATCAATTACATTTCCATCATGACTGGTGGGAGCAGACACTATTCATGCTACTGTTCCTTTAAACCTTTAGGGAAGGGTCAGTAAACTTCCTTTAAAGGGTTTTATAGTAAATGTTTTAGGTGTGGCTAAATGAATAATGAATAAACAAATGGATGTGGCTGTGTCCTAATAAAACTCTATTTGCCAAACAGGCAGTGGCCATGTTTGGCCCATGGGCTAGAGTTAGCCAAACCCTGCTTCAGGATGATTCTTTCAAAGCCTTCAGTAATTTCCTTGCATGTATTTGCTGATCAATACTCTGCTGAATACTCAAGGGGGACTTTCTGCATGTCTCTGAGGCTTGCTCTCTGGACAGCTCTCTCCTCTCTGGAAATTCTCACCAGGGGACTCTGTTGCCCTGGTTTCCCTAGGTTCTCAGCTTTACCTCCTCAGCTCAAGGAGCTGAGCAGGCTCTGATTCAAGACCTAGAAATCCAGGCAGTTGCAGTCACAGGGCTAACCCTGTATTCTTCCCATTTGTTGCCTGGTATTCAGTGTCTTGAAAACCACTGTTTCATATATTTTGTTTTTTGTTTTTGTTCTTATTTTTTGGTGGTTCAGGTAGAAGGTGCCTGTTCTGGTGCCTGTTACCCCACCTTGGCTGAAAGTGGGAGCCCCTTAGCTATTAGAATTAAAATTAAATTTTAAATTTTAAATTCTGTTCCTTAGTTGCACTAGCCATGGTGCACAATAGGACGTCCCCACAATCACAAGTTCTATTGAACAGTGCTGGCCTAGAGGCTTCTTCCCTCCTCCTTCCCATGTTAATTCACAGCCAAGCTGCTTACAGAAGGCTCACCTCTTGCAAAAGAGACAGGTGGGTGGCCAGGAGAACAGTGGGAACTTGGTTCGGCAACAGCAGCAAATCTGTAAGAAAAGGTCCTTATTAGAGCCCAATTTTGTCCAAAACTCATTGGGTCCAGTCTATCCTCACTAGGCTCCCACCCAGGGCTCCTGTGTGGTGAGGAAACAGTCCAGGGTCCAGGCCACTCACCTTCCCCTTCTTCAGGCTGCTGAAGAGCTCCTTGTTCTGTAGGAACTTCTCCATCTCAGCCTTCACCAGCACACGGCGCACATACATCACCTCGTCCACAGTCAGAGCGAGGCTCTCTACGGGGTGGCTGAACTCCTGGGGGTGAGAAGGTCCAGGGGTTGGTGCTCACTCAGGTCCTCTCCACAAGTTCTCTTCCCCCAGGCCTCTGATATCTTTCTGGCCTTAGCCTACACAAGCCCAGATGACACTCCAGCTGCCACCTCTCCAGAGGCTCTGAGCCAGACCCCCAGCTGAGCCATTTCTGGATCCCTAACCCTTAGAAATGGTGAGACAATAAATGTTTGTTGTTTTAAGCTGCTGAGTGTTAGGGTAATTTCCCATACAGCAAAAGATAATAACAAATACAGAACTTAGGGAAAGCATTGCCTTTTGTTGGGGAATTTTAAGAATAACACTACCTTGCATTTACACATCGCTTACATTTTTCAAAGCATTTTAACATCTGTTCTTATTTGAGCCTCTGGATAAAATGTCAAGGAAATGATAGAGAACACGCCACTGACATCTCTCCACATCCCAGCCAGATACCCATTTAATAAAATCCCACACCAAGGCTCAGGTCCAAAAGGGGGCTTCAAAATATCAGCTCTTCCCAATGACAAGTCAGACAAAATTTCACAGCTGATGAAACTGACGTGCAGGGAGGGTCAGCAGCATACTGGCTGGGTCAAGACCACCTCACCCTAATAAAATGCTCCCTTGTCACATCACAAAGCCTTCAAGGCACAGGGTTTCTCCTGTGTCCTAACCACACAGAGCTGGGACGAAGAACTCCACATGCAGGCTGTCCCCTTAGCAAGGTTCTTCTCTTCTCGGGGCCACAGTGCTCAGAAGGCCCAGAAGGTGGCAGCAGAGACCAACCCTGCCCCCCCAGCTGGAGCCTCAAGCACAGACCAGCCACACCCACTGCAGGCAGCAGACACCACTCAATGCTCTGGACTGGAGCCTTGTCCTGGGCAGGAGTGCAAATGAACACTCGAGAGGCACCCCCACCCCAGCCACCCTGGACAGAAGTGCCCCCTCACTCACCAGCCACAGGTGATTGGTGTCTGGGGCTGCAGAGGCCTGGGGCTTGTCCTTTGCTGAGCCCAGGTCACTGTGTTGGGGGGAACTAGGGTCAGCCTGGGACTGGGACTGGACACTCACAGGGAAGGGACCTGGAGGAAGAGTTTGGAGGCTCTGTCAGGGCAACCTGGCAGAGATCCTGGTGGGGGAGGGCTACCCAGGGGATGAGGGAGACAGCCTAACAGGTAGCAGGAGCTGGTGGGGTGGTTACATGGGGGAGGCGGGAGTAACCAAGCAGAAGGTCGAGTAGAGAGCATATCACCCATGTCACAGGCCCATGCAGTGCTGCAGGCCAGGGACCCCTGAAGGGGTCTGAGCCCCATGAATGAGCCAACGTTGGGAGTCCCATGATGGAGCCATGGCAGCCACAGCGCTGTTCACCTAGGACCTTCCTGCTCTGTGGCCCCACTCACTGCATTTCATGCTAGAGACCAAGAGGGCAGAGAAGAACAGAGGAAAAGAAGTCAGACTAGCCCCCACCATGGGGTCTCTGAGTCTTGAGGATAATATGGGGGGGACAGTGAGGTATGGTCTGGCCTGGACCTCTTCATACCGGAAAGTGAGTCATAACTACTGGATGGGGCTGTCCTAAACGTGGTCATATGCCACGGTGAACCTGAGGGCAGAGAAGGGGTCCTGGCCATTTCTGGTGAGGTGACAACCCCATGTCCTGCTGGCATTTCCTGGAGCACAGACCGTACAATGGTGGCACTGCATGGCCACTGGAATTGATCTGTCCACTGTGCTGACCGACAAGGGGAAGAGAAGGCTGTTGAGAAACTGAGGCGACAGTCAGGTTCCAGAGTGGAATGTGCTGCACCACCTGTCTGGTTCACTGTGGACACATGTCCATCAACAGAAACAAAACTAGAAGGACCTGTCAGTCTTCTGCCCACCATCCATCCATATGTCGACCCATCTATCCATCTATCATACATCCTCCAACCATCATCTGTCCATCTGTCCATCTTTCTTTCTGTATACCAATATACTAATAGTAATTAGCTCTAGGTAATGGGATCATGGGAATTTTTTAACAGTTTTTTAAAAAGTATTTTACAATGAATATGGGTTACTAAGTTTTTTTCAAGTTAAAAAAATGGGGTGCTCCTACCTGAGCTGATACGGGCAGTATAGGCTTGAACATTAAAAGCCTTCTTGCAGGATGAGCTCCCTGTACCCTGAAGGTGCTGCCTGCTCAGGAAGACAAGGGACCCAGGCCAAGGGGCACAGCACCCACAGGACAGGGTTGAGGGAGAGGGGGTGTGAGAGGCGGCACTTGCCCTGTTCCTGGGTGCTTGGTCGCCAAGTGTGCATGCTGCCTGCACGGGCCCGAGATGGCTCCAAGCCTCCTGGGAGCTGAGTGGTCGGCTGCAGGCCAGAGGCTACTTCACTCCGCAGCTGGACAAGGTCGTGCTCTGAGAAAGAGCGGTCCCTCTTCAGTGTCACCTCCCCACACGGAGACTCTTCCTCCTGCGGACACATCAGACCCAGCCCTACCCTCACCACTCTGCCCACCAGCACCTCTTGCCCATCCCTGGACTGAGGCACAGAACGTGGGGTACTGCTGGGTCCACAAAGGCCACGGGGGCCGTCTCCACCCACTGCCCAGCTTCACTGTCCTCTGGACAGTGGAAGGCAGGTGCCTCCAAAGCCAAACAATCCCCTGAAGTCTCTGGAAAGTACTGAAGAGGACAGGTTTGGTGTCAGTTGGAGCCCACTGACACTGCCACCACCCTGGTCTTCCTGGTTCGGACGGCAGCGGGGACAGGGCGAGGAGCCACATTGGCACACGCTGACTTTTCACATCAACCCGGGGATTGCTCAGTCTCCTAGCCCCAAGATGACAGCCCTTTTTGTACTATGGCAACAGGATGGGGGGGAGGGCTCAAGGCCCCCTTGGCCTTCTGAGCCCTGCCATACTTGCTCCCAGGTCAGGACACCAGCATTAGCAGAGGGCATGGCCAGAGGCCCTGAGCGATGGACGCCCACACGGCCGGGTGCTGTGCCTGGATTTGCTCAGCCCCTTCTCACTTCCTGGTCCCTCTTGTCCTGCTCCTCCCTGGTCTCTTCTCAGGATCCTGTAGGGTCTGACCTCAGACGTGTTCATCTCCTCCATCTCTGCCAAGGTAGGTGCCTTGAGCAGAACCCGGGGCCGTGGGCGTTGGGTGCAGCTCACAGTATCCGTTAGGGACAGGTTGATGCAGGAGGTGGACTTGACATCCCCAGAGCAGGCGTTGAGAATACAGGGCAAAGAGCCAAACCCTGGGGAGGCCAAGTGGATGGGGCAGGACAGGATGTGAGGGAGGGGAAGGGGAGGGGGAGGGGGAGGGAGCAGGAAGGAAGGGGCATCCCTGGCTCACCTCTGCCACCCCAGCGCTCAGCTCCCACAGGGCGCAGCCTCCGCTCCTGCTTGATCTCCTCCAGGATCTTCTCATGCAGGGTCCTCTGCTTCTGGGGCAGGGGGCGGAGCCTTCTCTCTGAGACCTGCAGGAGTGTGATGTGATGTGCGGGGTAGAAAGGGCAGGGGGCAGTTGGGGAGGTCCACTAGGCCCACCAGGAGCCCACACAGCAGGGAGCAGATAGGTGTCCAGTGAGCTCCTGGGGACATGTCCATTGGGACCAACCCTTGAGCACCTCCCTCAGCAGAAACTTCAACCTGCCCTCAGGGAAGAGAGGCCCGAGGGGAGGGGCACTGAGCTGGAACCTGCTTCAGTGGAGGCCGGGAGCGGATGAAGTCCAAGATGAGTTCATGGGCATCTTTCTTCACCCTGGGAGGGATGTCCCCATCAACCTGTGGGAGGGTGAGGAGGCTAAGGGCCTGAGACCCCTTGGGTGCCAGCTGGGGCCAGGCGTGGGAGGAGCTCATTCAGCGCCAAGCAGGGCCTGGTCCTCATATCCTCCCTCCCTGTGGAGGCTGCAGCGTGGCCTTCGGGGCTGGGCATACCACGAGCGTCCCTGTGCCTAGGACCCTTCACATGAAAATAGGGCTGGCAGCACCCACCTCACAGGGTCTTCATGAGAATGAGATGAAGTTGCACATTTAAAATTCTTAGACCAATGCCGACAGCTGGCAACAGCTACAGGAGCATTCAATCAGACCATCCTGTGGCCTCAGCTCCTGCCCCTGCTCCTCCAGAACCTGCACATCCCCTCTCCCTGCCCTCGTCACACTGTGTGAATCGGGGCCACGTCTGCTACTCCCATTGGGACACCGGGCTCAGTGGCCAGCGCACAGGCAGGGTGGGAGGCTCCGCAGCAGGTGCCCCATCTCACCATGACCTTGCGCAGTTTGTAGTTCCTGGCACGGATATCCTGCATCAGCATCTCGAAGGGAGTGAGCTGGAACTCGGTGGGCAGTGGGTTGAACTCCTGCTCCTGCACCTTCTTGAGCTTTACCCCATGGCGAAGCTCCCGCATGAGCTGGACCCAAAGTCGGGCCTGGGCCCCGAGAATGTGAGAAATGCCCTTAGCCCCGGCAGGACTCCCAGGGCCCTCCAGGCACAGGTCCTCGGGGTCCCAGGTTGGGGGAGCTGCATCTTACCCAATCCGTGTGCCTCAGGTTGTCAAGCTCTGCCAGGGGCTGCTCTGCCTGTGGCTCGTCCTCCCGAAGTTTCTGCAGCATCTGTCAGTACAGAGGAAGGGGGCAAAAGGGCAGCTCAGGGCATGGGCGCCTGCCAGGCCATCTACCTGGGGCATTTCCTTACCACATGGGCTGCTATTCAACCAGCAAAACAAGGGCCAAGCTCTGGGGCTCAGAAAGATACCTGGGGAAACTAAGCCATCAGCCATAAAACCACATGGTACTTTTAGTGTCCCATCATCATCTCTGGCAGCTTCTCCTGGGCAAGGGCAGGAACAAGAGCATAGCACCCACGGAGAACCTTCTCTCACCTGATCCACACACCCAGCGAGGCGCGGGGCCCTCCACAGATGGAACGAAGTCCCACTCTCCCTCGTCTGTGAAGTGTTTTCCCTCAGATCCCAGCTCACAGCTCTTCCTCAAGAACGCCTTGGCCTCTTCACCTGGGCCACACTCACCCACCCTCTCAGAACACCCACGGCCCTTGTCCACACATGAACCTAGCTGAAGTTCTACATTTGTCTGCTCCTTTAACTGTTGTCTGCAGTATACGGGCTCCATGAGGCCAGAACCACATCTTCTGTTGTTTTTTCCTCACATTGTTATTCCTGTCTCTTAGCATGAGGGGCACATGCTAGGTCTTAAATGTTGGTTGAACGAATGAATGAATGGATAGATGGGTGTATGGGTAATGGATGATGGGTAAGGTGGATGATGGGTAGGTGGGTGGATGGATGGTGGATGGATGGTGGATGGATGGCTGGGTGG